CTTCTTCTCTCTCTCTCTCTCTCTCTCTCTCTCTCTCTCTCTCTCTCTCTCTCTCTCTCTCTCTGTCACATACATTCTTATTATTAAAAATATAATATTGTATTAATTTTTAATAAAAACTATTTTAACACACTATTTCAACTGTGAACGTTTGTATTTCTCGATCAATGTACTGAAACTTCAAATTCAATGAAGATCATTATTTTTCATTATCGATGTAATTCCTAGCAATTATATTTAATCTCCAAATAATCGTTCTTGTGTTATTTCGGTATTATTACTTAAACGTTGGGTATCATCGTAAGTTTTTGATATATTTACGATTGATGGGCCATCACCTCCGCCAATTGTAGAACATTGATCCATTTTACCTGTTGTCATATCGGATTGATTTTCGATGCATTCAACTAATTCTGTTAAATGTCGAACAGATTTTTTATCTGATCCATCAGTATTTGTATCATGTTGAGTTTTCTCAACATGGTGAGATTTTGATGACGTTGTAGTTAAATTTGTGCAAGAAAATACAAATCTCTCTAAAATACCTACAGTTTTATTATATTAATAATCAATGATTAATTAGAATTATTTAATATTAACAATTTTTTAATTATGAAATATTTTTGCATTTATATACATTACCTGTTAGATTCATTCTTTCTTCCGATAAACATGTATCGTCATGAGAACTAATATTGTCCCTACTAAAAAGATGTTGTCTAATGGTAGTCAAACTGCGATTTTTTAATTTTTCATCGATCAAAGATCGATCAAGAGAATCATTTTTGCACGGTGTTTTATACATAACCGAACGTTCAGTACGCATCTCACGTCCCTTTTTAATATAAGGAATCAAACACGATAAATTCAATTGCGTTCTAGAAACACTATTCGCAGTTTGTATAGATAATGGCGATTTGCAACTGCTCACTAAAAAAACATCGATAGTTAAAAAGCATAAACATGAATTCATGATATTTGTATAAATATTCTTACCTGTATAAGGAGTTCTTACATAAGTTAAAGGTTTTCTATGATTATCATTGGATAATCCATAAATTGTAGATGTTAATTTGTTACTCACATCTAGAAAAGAAAAAAATGTGATATAAAATGAATATAACAGCAAAAATTAATAATTGAAGAAAAGATAACGTACCATGAATAGTATCACCTTGTCCCTTGCCATTTTTAGCATAAGTTGTATTCATTAACATTGTATTATTCATAATAGCAACTAAAGCGGGATGTAACCGTTTTACTACATTTAATATTAATTCGCATCTTTTTATTACCCGTAATTGCTGTGGTTCAGTAGCATTTTCTATTAAAAGACTTTTTGAAGCAGCATCAGCTTCAAAAATTGCTTCAAAATAATAAAAAATTATTATAGAGTTGTATACAATAAAAGAACAAATTAAAAGTTTCATATAATAAATATTTACCAGCTTTTAATTCTCTAATCATCATTATTGTTTGCCTTTCAACAATATCACTTCCAATATCGTTTATTGTAATACTAATTTGACGAGAGAGTGATAACGATCTAAGCACGACGCTTTGTACCTGTGCTTGAGTGACAGGCTTTCTATTATCAAGACAATTTGACATCTCTGAAATACGATCTTGAAGATCATCTAAAACTACCTGAATAAATAATATTTTAATATAATAAAATTTTTTTTAATTATATTTTTAATTTTATTATATATAATTATACTGCATATATTTATTAAAAAATACTTGACAATAAGCAGCAGAATCCATAATCAGATTAATTGCATCATGTAATTTATTGACTTCCAATTGCCATTGTGCAGTTAATAACTTTACATTTGCTCGTATCTCTTTACTGTCTGGATGCAAATAAAACATGGTAATGGCGGAAATCAATTCAGTTTCTAAAGATTCAAGACTTGCCAAACAATTTCGTACTTGATTAATTCCTGGAACAATTTAACAATTGAATGAATAAATAATAAGATAATGATACAAATTTTATCAATTTAAGCGAATTAACTTACGATTTCTATCTTTACAAGAGGCAATAGCAAATAATCCAATTTGCATGGATTTATCTATGATTTGATCGAAATCTTCTATAGCATTGGATAAATCATTTTTAGATCGTTTTTTAGCGCTTAATGAATTACCACAGATTGTAACAAGTTTTCTCAGAGCATGAAAAGGATCACTAAAAACTTCCATAACAAGATTCAATACCGATACATTAATTTTACGTTCTAAACGATAAAGCGCATCGCTCAAACTATTCATAACAAATTATTCAATGCTGTATCAGACGATTCCGAAGTTAATTGAAATTTTAAATTCTCATATTCTGATATAATGGATTGACAGGTTCCAGTTATTGCTTTAAAATTGCAAGGTTTGCAAACCTGTGCAATAGCCATTGCATATGAAAACACATCTTCTATTCGAAACCATAAATCTTTGCATTCCTGTATTTGATCTTGTAGTGATTTATTTGGCATTTCTGATAAGATGTCCAATACCAAGTCCATTCTAAATGCATAATAAACTATTAAAATAGACAAATGTAAAGTATTTTTTTAAAAGCAATTGAAACTAAATTACCTATAAACAAAGTGATTTTTTTGTTCAAATTCTTCATCTTCTGGTAATGGATCTAACATATCCAATATTTCTATTATCATCTTCAAGCAAAAGCAAAGTCTTTCACACACATATTTCTTGCAATTCTATGCAAATAAAGCATAAGTATCCTATTAGAATATGCTTGTGTATGCTTTTAAAATGTAGAGATCATAAAACATTTTATTACATAAATTGGTGCATTTAGGCGATGTTGCTCTTGTACTAATTGTACTAACAGTTTAAATGCTGCACACAACTGACACAAATATAATATGATCTTTTCAGCTAGTGGTTGACACATTAAGCTTTTCCTATATATTTGTAATGGTCCAAGCAATTCCAAAATGCAAGAGCCCAATTCCTAATGAAAGAATATTTTATTTATATTTATATATAATATTAAGCAATTTATTTATCTAAATATTGATATAATCATATGAAAAAATTTTATACTATATTTTTTATACCTTAATGTTCTGAAAATGTTCAATTTCATTAGCTTGACCCATTTCTCTAATATAATCCAAACAATCTGTCAATCTTTGCTTCAATGGCAAACATTCTAATTTTTCTAAAGTTTCAAGAGCTAATTTAAACTTATCTAATACAGTAGACAAAATTTGATTTGCCATTTGTTTATCTATACTTTCAATCTGTAAAAAAATTATTATAAAAATGGATAAGAAATTAATGTTTATATTTTGTTTTAACGTACAGATTCATTAATATATTCTAAGGAACAAAATTCTTCCACGATAGTAGTGATCTTTGATTCCATTTCTTCATAATCACTAATTTCTTCTTTTGATAGTAAATCAAATTTTTCTCCCAAACATTCCAATTGTTCAAAAAGGACGGATTTTTTCGACATAGGAACATTTTCATTATGAGGGTTAGTATTTATTAATTCTTTTAATTTATTTACCTAAGATATTGAATATATTAAAATATTATTTCATTTAAAAAAGAAATAAATGATATAAGAAATATATTATTACAATATGAAAATATTATAAAATTGTTATATTTTTCTTACTTGTTCTTCTATAGGTATTAATATTCCTTTTATTTCCTTTGTCTTTACTGGCATTTTTAAGCTTTCTGATTTTTAAACAATCAACGACGATAAATCTAATCTCGTCACTTTTAGTTGTTTGTAAACAACATGAAAATAGTAATCAATCGATTTTTAATTTACGTTATAACAATCGAAATCTGTAATCCGTTGATGTTTTGAATCGTTACGGTTCTACCACATTTCATACTGAAAAATGATACACAAGTAATCATTTGTAATTTTCTTTATTACATATAATAAATGTTCTAACAATAATTTATATTTTTAAATATGTGTGTCTACACATAAATTTCAAAGCATTGAAGTTTTCAAAATAACATTAACAATTTATTTATTTGTTTCTTTAATAAGTTGTCTATACTGTGGATATGCAAGCATGCATTTGCACGTGTGTGAATATATACAGAATACGGTAAAGAAGTTCGATAATATTGATGGTGTAGTAGGTTTTTCTAATTGCATGACAATTTATAATTTGATATGAAAGAAATATAATTTGCTAATGTAAGTAATATAAATATATTATAAATTTTGCATAAATTTTTTTTATACAAATATCAACATATATTAATTTAAAAAAATATTATTTAGAATAAAACTCAAAATCAAAATATTCTATTAGAAGAGTGTTCGCAACTATTACATGATCAAAAAGTGTATCGGTTTTTATTGATTAAAAATCAAATTTTATTGAATGTAGTATATATTTATTATTTTGTAGCACGTTATTACAAACTTTAATCAATGAAATTCAAGTTAAATTTTAATTTATTATTTAATTAATGATGAATAATTAGGAATGTTGTAGAATAATATATTATAGAAAAGGTTATATAATTTTATTGAATCCTTACTTAATTAAAATAATAATTTTGAGAATTTTTTTATTTTAAATTATATTGTACATGCATATTTTTTTGTTTTTAAATAAGTTTTTTATTGTTTTTATGGTTCAAAAAATATATATATATATATGAATTTTTAATAAGATTAATATTATTTTTTAATATTATTGTATAGATACTGAATTTTTCATTAATTAATTTTTTTTGTAATATAATTTATTATATTATTATATTTTAAATAATAATAGAGATTCATTTACAAATGAAATTCATAAGAATAAAATAATTTTTTCTATATCTGGATTTTTATATATTTATATGAAAGAAAATATACTTTTTATATAATGTATATATTTTGTTTATTTTCAGATTAAAAGATACAAATTAGAATTAAGATTTATGACACATGATTAACTTTGCTTTTGGCAAAGAAATTTTAAAAAAGTATTAATCATAAGAATAAATTATACTGGTCATTAAATAAATTATATTGGTTGATATTAAGAATGGTTAAATACTACGAAAGTAGTACAATTTTTCAATTTAATTGGAATCAAGTTGCATATGGATTTTGGCAGAGATATCCAAATCCTAATAGGTAAGTATCAAGCTTCAAATATACTTGTGAAAAATATAATGTTTTAGAAATTATTGATTTAGAAATATTTACAAAAAATGAATATAAAGTATAAATTGTTTTCATGTATAGTTCTCATGTACTTACGGAAGACACCATATCAAGAAAAGTTAAAAATGGTATATTATATACCACACGTCTTTTGACAAAAACTAACAGAGTGCCTAAATGGGGAGAGAGATTTGTCAGTAAAAATATAGTAAAAATTATTGAAGAGAGTATAGTGGATCCAAAGACAAAGACTTTAACAACATATACAAGAAATTTAGGTTACACTAAAGTCATGGTAATTTGATATGTGTGATGTAATTTAATATATCCTGTGTAATAAGCAAATATTATAGTACAGTTATTTGATGATTGATTCTTATTGTGATTTGTTTATTTCAGAGCATTGTAGAGAAAGTTGTTTATAAAGTATGCGAAGAAAATTCTAATTGGACAGTAGCAAAACGATCAGCTTGGATTGACAGTCAAGTATTTGGATTCAGTAGAGCTATTCAAGCATTTGGATTGGATAGATTTAAAAAGAATTGTACTCTGATGTATAATGGGTTTAATTACGTTCTAGCACATTTGTTTCCTCACACGGCCCAACATATGAATCCATCGCTTTCTCAAATGGGTTTTGCTCATCTAGTAAAAGAAATGCATATAAAAAATCAGCATTGAAAGAAAAGAAAGTTTTTATTTCACTGTTTTTTATTTTAGGTTGATGAATTTCCTGGAAAGACAAGTCTTGCAGAAGATTTCCAACATTCATTACAAGGTAAAGCAGAAAAAGTAAAGGATGCTGCGAAAAAGGCTACTGATTTAGCAAAGAAAAAGACTGGCACTATTTATGCTACATAACATTCTGAGCAATCATAATTAAAACAACATCGTCAGTGTGAACGATTTAAAACATTTGGCGAAAAAAGAAAATGAAAATTCAGAAAAATAGTTTTAAAATAGAAACAAAGGATAATTATTTATTAATGGTTTATTGATTGAGTAAATAATAGAATGAAATTGTTTAACGTTATTCAGTTTCATTTTCATATTCGAAAGTATAATATTCGTTAAAAAATGTAAGAAAAAATTTTTATTTAAAAAATTTCTTATTATAATTATGTATAATATTGTATCACGTTATCATTCCTGTTAACTGCCATTTCATGTTCAATTTTAATATTCATATAAGATTTATTTGCGATAGACGCAGCAATATATTTTCAAAGATAACGATCACTGACGATGCTTAATAGCGCGGACGAAGCAATATTATGGTACGCTTGTATCATTAGATATCAAAGCGAATAAAATTTGGATCGAAATATAAAAATGTATATATAATTGCTTCGAATACGTGCTTTAAAAGATGTAGAGTGTAAATTGTAAAATATTGAAATAGATGAAAAGAAAGATTAGTTATTAGATTTAAATGAATTTAATTTGTTTTAATGAAAATCGAAGATTTCGTTAAACGAAAATCTAAGATCAACGAGTTAGTAGAAAAAATTAGGAATTATAGATAACACATTTTTGCGATATTGTGTTGCATCTAATTGTAAGTATTTAAGCATTTTTTATTTGCACGTATGAATAAATAATCGATATCGTATTATCCAATATGCTTTCCGTATACAATTAAAATAGAATTGCATTCATATTCAAAAGATATTTAATATTTGCGCAAGTTTTTTATGCGCATATATGCACGTATCTCTATACATTAAAATATCACTTTTGTGTATTTAGAGGAAAAAATTCTAATTTGATGTTTATCGTTAACCAGCATTATAACTTATGCAAGTATTATATAGATAGAAAATTTGTATATAATATATTAAAAAGTATACTATATAAATGTTATTAGAATCTTATTACAAACTAAAAAAATTAATCTTTTATTTTTTTTTCCATTCCTATCAAAAAATATTTTAAAATGTATTGTAGACGAATCAAGATTTTTTTTTAATTTATTAGAAACGAAACAAAACAAAAAAATATTAACTTAGAGCAACAAATTATGAAAAGAGGTGTAAATTTCCAGGTGTGGTGATCTAATATACATATATAATAACATGAGTGCAAAAGCATGTAATTTGTCAAACTTGTGCCGTTTACTTTTTGCTCTGTATAACAGAATAGAAAAGTATTTAGAATAAATTATATCGAATGAACAATTCGATAAGATGATCAAGCTAGAGATAGCTGTTTGTTTATTTCTTTCTATCTTGAAATATTGACTATGCAGTAGAATGACTTAACAGGAAAATCCAATGTATTCGCATAGGAATTTTTATAGTCGTCGAGATCATCTCGCAACACTGATTAGTTGCTATTACTACTTGCTGCTCGCCAACTTTCCTCAACTTATCTATAGCTCAGCTATAAAAGTACGCGAACGATTCTTTCTGTTCAGTAAGTCCTTGATCTTATTATATTAAGGAAACTTAAATAAAAATAAAGTTTGAAAAAGAACAAAAGAGAGAAATAAGAGAAAATAAAAGTGATTATAAAAAATATAAAACGAAGGTGATTGATTAATCAAAATGTGGTTATTTTTTCTAATTTTAAGTAAGTATGCATCAAGTAAATTATGTTCCGTAGTAGCATGATATAAAAAATCAATTTATGAAAATGCATATTATGTAGCTATTACTTCGAAGAGTGTAATCGCATTTCCACAGGTAAGAAAAATTTAATTGTTTATTTCGAATCATTTTATTCGATTAATTATCATTTAATCATGTTAAGAACGATTTGACCGGTAACGTTGAAATTCAAACGTTACCTACCACGTTCGAAGTAGATGGATTTATTTTTGATGGACCAGCAAATAGACCATTACGGCAAACTACCACAACTGTAACAACTACTTCTACAGCATCAACAGTTGATCCTCAATTCGATCAGTGTGTTGCAACGTGTCGGGTGAGATAAAATATTTTTTCTTTTTTTCCTTTGATCATATATATCGTTGATATAAGGTCATAATTATACATAGTTATATATTCATTATCATTATCATAAATTTAATGATGTATATATTAACTCGTCATATCTTTAAAATATTCTCTTTCGTATCAAGTATTTCTTCTTAATTATATCAAAAAATTAAACAATATAATTCTTAGTGAATGAGAAGAAATGATAAAATTTTTAGACGACCCCCGAATATAATCCTGTATGTGGAACAGACCAAGTCGAGTATAATAATCCTGGGCAACTAAGCTGTGCATCTATGTGCGGAAAAGGTTAGAAAGATTAAATTTTCATTAATCTATCAAAAAAACACAAATATTGTTTGTTACAGATGTTTCATTAAGACATTATGGACGTTGCACGACTACGAAAATAAGAGGAAGATAACAGTTTGAATGTTTCGCTGGTCAGGAATATTAATATGCAAATTATGAATGCATTCTGTTTAAGAAGACTGTTTTAAAGCATAGTTACATAATTGTTTTTTCGTCGTCGTCTTGTTTCATTTTTAATACAAATTTTAATTGAAAATACTGCTTTTCTATTCATATATCCTCTCCTATCTATAGAATTGTATCAACTTAAGAAACGAATCGGAAGTGTATATGTGTATGTATGGATGTACGATGGTACGAAAGGTGATGAAAGGTTATATGTCAAGTTAATCATGAGACGCGGAGGAAGCATTGTGATCAGCCCATGTGACTCTTCGTGCAATTTCAAGATTTTTTCCGTGAATACCATAGAGATGTCTAGCCAAAATATTGGCTCTGTCCTCTTCTGCTCGTATGGCTGTACGTCTGTATTGTGCAATAGTTACTAGACAGCCAACGATAAGTGCGATTTGAATAATCAGTAAGATAATTAATAAGCTCAAGGCAAGACTAGCATCGATGCAAAGTAATCCGTCCATAGAATCTAAAAAGAAGAAAAGAAATCTAAAGAGAATTATCTGGAAATAAAGATAAAGAAATTTATTAAACTTACTTTCTCCGGTTATCAACACGGTATCGGGAGATACGTTCTCTCTTGAAGACAAACGATCAGCTGAAGATGCAACGGGATTTTGTACAATTATAGAGAGATAAAGCGGTAACTCTTCTGGTGTTTCATTTTGAAAATTTCGTGTCGCTTCATCATTATAAATCGAATGTGTATTCTCAGATTCGATAGATCGTTTTCTTCTTCCATAGGAAAGTTTATCGCCGTTGCAGACTGTCTGCAATACACGTTGATTCAATCATCGCGAATATTGTAAAATTAAAAAGCACGGACGTAAAACTAACTTACCGGTGCACATTTTTGCAAACAAAATCGAACGATTACATTAAATCGGACTATCTGACTGTTGGGAAATTTGAAAGCGGTAAAGGTTGCAATCAAAGAACGACCATCGAGTGGATCTTTCGTGAGCGCTGGAAAAGTGGTTGAATCTGTAGGACATCCAACTTCGTTTAATAACAAATAAGAAGCATCACCCGAAGCGCTACTCGCTACAAGGTGACCGGCAGTGATATCATAAGGACCTATAATCATAAAATATAAAAAATTGTACGTAGGTATAGATATATATTTATTTTATTTACTATTCAAATTCGATTTTTTTTAAGAATGAAAAATAAAAAATTTTATATTTTCAACTTATTTTTATGTCAGGAATCAAGCGTTTATGTATACAATATAATATAATTTGCTTACCGTTCGGTGGACTCAACTGAATTTTCAATATGAGCTTTTGTCCTAAATGCGTGACCATCGCGTCTCTCAAATTCTCGTCTAAAATTCTCATGGTGACTATTGGTACTTGCGAGGATACATTGACTATTGTCGAAGAGATTGGCGGTACTCCTGCGCTAAAAAACATAAAGAATGTATGTATCGTGAATAATTCTGTACAAATGATAAGATCACAAAAGCGAAAAGTAAGTTCTCACTTTGGATCGAGAAAACTGAAACTCGAATGAACGGTAATGTTTTTCGCTTCTGGTGGCTCTCGATCGCTCAATGAGCATCCTATCCTAATCGCTTGATCGCCGAGTCGTTGAACGATTGGATTAAATTGTACAACTATCGTCGCCCAGACCAATGGTCGTGTTCTACGATCAATTTATTTATTTCTATAAAATAGAGAACGCTTAAGAAAGTTTAGAGAAAATTGTTATCGACTTGCCGATTTCGATCGTCGACAGAAAAAGCGGGGTTCAGGCCGCAATGTAGTTCGCCTTCATGGACTTTGTTCGCGGTTGGGATGGATAGCATCAACATCGTTTGATTACCGCCCGTACCTTGAACGCCGCAACTATCTGCATATCCATTCGAATAGATTCGGCCGAAAAAGGGATCGTTCGTTCTCAACATGATCGTCATCGTTGAATCATTACATTGTACCCTTACTGATAAGAAGAATAATGAAACATAAAAGCTATATAATGTAGACAAGATGTTACAGTATTTGTGGGTCATCCTTGGAAAATCAATTTTTAAAATAGCTAGAATTAATTCTCTGAAAATGTTCTATAAATATCGTGACAATTTGTGTACGTGATTCCTTTCATTTCGATCAACTTACAATCCAAACACAATTCCCGTTCTCTGTATATCGTTTTTGTAGCATCGATCAGCGAGCTAACCCCTAGACTAGTAGTATCTTCCGAATGTAACAGGCAAATTGGTTTACCGGACGAATTGTCGAACGTATATCCTCGACAAATGAAACCATCCATACTTGCGTCGCATCTTCTCTCGCACTGCACCGAATCGATCCATCCAATGAAACAAAATGTAAAGTACCGAAGAATTTCTTTAACTTACTTGCTCCTCGTCAAGATTTGATAAAGCGAAGTCCGAATATGGCAAAGAAACATTTTGAAATTCTGCATACGAACAGTATTCGCGATTAGCTGAATAAAACAAATGGAGATGTTATTCGGTTCGATTTACGAAAACATTTTTTTTGAAATTTGTACTCACACAGGTTTCGACATTGATCTCGAAGATATTCATCTCTGTACATCGAGGCTCTGTACGCTCGAGGTCTGGTTCCACGTTCGTACAACGAGAGAGAACATCGGCCAAGCGCAGTTTCGTCGGATGAGAGAGGTTTCGATGTTCGGAATTGCGCGGATTCGCAACTTCCTCCTAAAAAAAATCGAGGCGATGTTTGACACTCATCGCAGATAATTCAAACTCAATGAATCTTACCTGTCTCTATACATTTTTCGTAACACTGGTTTCTCGTAATTGGATTGGGCAGATGCAAGGCGCTGGAATCTATCAACACCGCTCCCGGGCTCCTCTCCACTTGCCAAAGTCTATGTCGTGTGCAGCTTATCGGAACTAATTGGAAACAAAAAATTACAATTGATGAATAATCGTTTGAAGGTGATCGAACCCTCCTACCTCTCACGCAAACTCGATGATAAAACGTTGAATTCGGATCGGGTATCAACTCGTCCTCCTTTGCTTCTATGGCGTAACAGATACGTTTTCCAAAGTCTACTACGAATGCGGTACAATTTACACGCTCGCACCTGAAATGCATATATAACCAAAGATTTCGTTCTTTCATTTAGTTTTTCCGTCTTTTTCTTGGCATTACCTCTCGAAGCAGTATCTCGTTATTCCGTTCGAATTGATCGTACTAAAGAGAATTGTTTGCGAGTCAATCGTTTCTGGTCTAACGCCACCAATTTTTTCCCATGTAACGGCCGAGCAACAGTCTGTTGGAATCAATGGTAAATGAACCGTCGATAATAGAGATCGTGCGTGTTGAATTAAATATGTAGATATATCTAATAGAAATATATCTAATAATCCAATTATCGTCACCTGTTCTTGCGAGAAACCAGGAAAACACGATTCCTAGAAGAAGACGAGCGATCGTCGTCATGTTCGTCGCTCGTCTACCGCTCGCATCGCGTGTGCAAACGGTTCTCGAGCTTCGATATTGTGTGCCAAGGATTTTCACAAACGTTGCCTCGACCTGCACACGACGATCTACCGTCGGATCGCTTGCGTAATTGATCGAAAACGCTAAAAGATCTAGCGGAATTTACGATTCCTCGTGGAATAACGTGCAATAAATGTAAATGTGTAAACGTAAAACGATAAAAGAAGCGCGAAACGTTGTTGTCAAGAGACTCGACAGGGTAGCGATCAGTACAGTAAACGGTCCATTGCGGTAAGTAGGAGTTCAGAAAATCGAGTACTTCGATCGAATTAATTCGTTCGAAAAACATGCGATCAAATTGCAATTTCACGACCAACTGACACACGCGGACGGAGATACATACGCGCTCACCTGCATTGTTGCGAAAAGCGAATAGAAACGAATACGTCCGCCCGCGCGCGCACGGCGGTCCATGAACGAATAATCGCGATATGGTGTAACGCGGTAAAGTCTCTTTCAAATTAGTCAAAAGTTAATTCGTTCGTTCCATCCGTCACATTTGTCACATTATGACATATATTTCTTTCGTCACTCCATAAAATTCCATTATATTTTTCATTTTTCAAAAATCTAGACACTTTATTCATTGCATCATTCCTAATTCATTTTTATTTTAGGTTAATACGCATTTGCGAATTTGCTAGAAATTTACACATCCATCAAGACCATCCATTTCAAGACTTATTATTTTAAGTCAGAAAAAATTGAAAGAAGCTCAACTTCATTTAAAGTTTGAAAGAATATTTGAAGGCAAGTGATAAGTTCATATTGGTGAAGTGGTTTTAAGATATTTGAATATCGTGGAATTTGGGTAATCTGAGGTTATCATAGATTAATGGCGGAACCAGGCTTCGGTTGAACGCGCTTGTTCACGGACGTTTATGGTCGTAACCGACAAAAAGGCTTGGTCGTCACGCGCAAAACGACTCGTCTCGGTGCATCGATGCTTATCGCGATTGGTCAAATATTTCCGGCCGTTCGAGCCGGCCATTCGCCGATTCGATTTCCCGGATTCCGTGTACGAACGGCGCACGATAACACGGTGCTCGTTTGGAAGCGTCCTTCGGTTTACGTAACCTACAATTTTACACATGTTCGTGTCTCTCCGCTGTTCTTCGATAAATGTTGTTTCTAACGAGGACGCTATGTTTTTCCAGCGATCAACGAACCGATTCTGAATCGGTAAATTTAGTAAATTTCTATTAATTCTATTGTAATAGATTGAAAGTTTTCAATCAAAGATTTAATAGTGTCTTTAATTTGAAACTTTAATATTAAATTATAAAAGAAAAATATTGTATTTAATAGTAACTGGTTAATTTACTGCTTCGATACTATAATAATTATTTTTATGATATTATTCATCATTTATTACGTTATTATTGTTATTATCTATTATTTTTTCAATCATTTATGTTAATAAACAGAAATGATATAGATGGAATAATATGCATTATCATTCGAATATTAATCAAATTTAATCAAATTTTTTAAAAAATCTTTTTTTTTAGATAAGAAAGAAAAATGGGGAAAGAAACAATTATTCATTCCCGCATCGTTTTTGCAAACACTTTTAATAACAATGATGGATTAGATACTTACATACATAATACCCGCATTTTCTTGAACGATAGAGATGATTTCTCTCGTTGCTTTCTACAAATATTTTCGTAAGTCGAATGTAAAACAGGAAACATAAAGATAGGAAATGAAGAAAAGTGAATGTGCGGGCAGAAAACTTGTAAGATTCGTTCGTAAAAAGGTTATAAAATGAATATCGTTATTGAGCTATATAATATAAATGGAAGATATATAGATATTTATATTTCAATATATCTATGTTTCAATATAGATATTTTAACTAAAAATATATAAATAGAATTGCTTGAACAAGTTTATACTTATTGATTTATCAATTTTAATCTATTTATTATGTTGGCAAAATTATATTTCCTGCTTTTTCCATTGAAAAATATCACAAAAAAGTTAAAAAAAATTTCAGAATATACAATGGCAATGGGATTTAGAAATCAGGAGAATCACGTCTTGATGTAACCAAAAAGTTTCATAAGATAATAAACGTTGTTGAACAATTCGATTAAATCGTTCAAACGTGAGGGCAGAATGTTAATTTTTTGATTTCATTGAGAAACCGAAGGAGCCAAGGAAGTGCTATATTTATTATAAACTTGTATATTAAATTTAATATTTGATTCGTGGTCCAGGATATTGGCTTGATAGCGACATTTGCAATCGATGACAGCAAGTAATTCATCGGATAATGGATCAAGTTCGATTCTTCTATGCCAAATATCGTTCTTCGATATTTTCGTTTTGGGTAATCGATTTTGAAATATGATTGCGTAAGATTATTGTTTGTCATTTTGAATTTGAACAAGTGACTTATTGTTTTGTCGGAGAGAATCGAATCGATAAAGCAAAAGATCTTGTTTATCATGTACGTCGATTGATTAACAAAATTCAACGTGAATTCATCAATGATGTCGCTCGAATTAGTCTGGACATTGTGATAGTTGTTCAAATTGTATTTCACTGTAACACGATCATGTTAGCGATTAAATTATAATATGGTAGATCGATCGATCGATATATCTTTGATTCGTACCTTGATCTTCGCAGCACACATAGAAAAGTGTCAATAGTAAAAAAATAATCGAGGTATTCATGATTGTAAATCATTCAATCCGAATTGTAGATCCCACAAACTTCGACTCGACTTTCGATTCGAAAATTGGCAGATAGTAAATTTCTGCTTTTACCTTTTATCGGATCCTTGGCACGGCAAACCTATTATTTCGTTATCGATGATAATTTACTATATATAATTTGCATGTTTTGCGTGTCACACGATACACAAACGAACGGAAAATTGCATTGGTCGAAATATATTTTATAGGTTAATTTACTTGCTTTTATCGCGTTTAATCGTCGTTTATCACCGAAATCCTTCATCTAGATTTACGTCAGAAGGATAAATATATATATTAATAATGGATTAATCACGAAAAATTTACATTTACATCGTGTAATTCCAAAGAAAGATTCATCAAATTTCCATCGTTTCGATCATAACGTTATATTGACACGAAGCCAACAACTAACAATTAATCGAAGGAAATGAATTATTCGCATAAGAACAAGAAATACGAGGATCACAAAGGGATCGTTCGTGTTTGCTAATGCTAATGCAAATATCGCGTGTAAAGAGAATCGAATTCGAATCGACATGTAAAAGTCGATCGTGAGAAGATTCAAGGAAATAATAAAATTTGAAAAAGCCGCAAGAGATCATCGTTAGAAACGAGCGCAATTTTTCGTTCTCGTGATCGATTTCCATAAAGCAACATTGCTGCGTTTTAATCGATGTTGCGCATTAGGCAACTATCGCTTTAGAGGAGAAGTAGAAACCATTCGATTGTGATTCGATTGATCGATTGTTCGATCTCCTAGTTACTCGCATCCTATTCGATTTTCACTGTTCAGCCCTTTTATGGTAAACGATCAATTGACTTGAATAAAGAGTTACGTTTGAGTTTTGTTTGATTCTTGGAAATTAGTGGAGACTAAAATCAGTCGCGTGACGACCGCGAACGAGTGATACGAATTGATCTCGCGAATAATACGGCAAGATACATCATGACGAGTTTTCAATTTCGTACAACATTATTATTAATATTGTGTTCAAGCTGCGTGTATCTCGATATTTTACCAGTGGAAGCTGAATCTATTTTAATAAGACCGTACTACGTGTACGAAAATTTGATCAAAGGAGTTCACGATTACTTCAACAATACTTGCATCATACTTTTTCATGGCTCTTCAAAATTAAGAGAAGAGCAAGGTGAATGCATCGGTGATGATTGAAGGTAACGCATATCGGCGAAAATTGAAAAGTTGATTCGATTATTTTTCAGGTTTGCAAGAAATGGACGAACTTTTGACGCTTCAAACGCAATTTAGCAAATATTTTCACATTCGAACTGTGATCATGGATTTTCATATGTTCAAGAATCGGGTAGGATTCGTTGGAAATTATTTCCAATGAATTTAACATTGATATTTATTTAATTAACATTAAATTTAATATTAATAGATTTGAACGAAATGAATTATCATTTTAGGTAGAGAAAACTTATCATCACATCAAGAGGCCGTTGTTCGTGTTGTTGAACGATTTCGAAAAGATCAAGGAGCAATTCGTCTCGGTGAGTGATAATTGAAAATTAAATTAAAAAAATCCAATAAAACTGAAATGAAATATGATAATAGGTGTCCAAGTGGATCACGATGGCTTATCCGACATGGTTGCTGTTCCTGAGGGATGAGACTAGATTCGAAGAGTTTTTGTCAGACGTTTACATACCTTTCGATTGTGTTTTTATGGTGGCTCAAAGAGATTCACAAGGAACTGAGATAATTCAGGACGTGTATCGAATCGGAAAAGAGGATTATCTGAGGTCAATGACGTTCGGTATGTGGAATGCGAGTCATGGATTCCAAGGACCTTTTCTTGGTTTGTATCAACGCAGGCACGATCTACACGGGCATAACATAAGGGTGGCTGCCATTAACGTGAGTCAAAAAAAAAACAACAAAATGCGATCTTTTTCGCAAAGTGACGAGCGTATAGAGAAATATTTACTTCTAATTATATCATCAAAGCTTCATTCCTATTTTTTTGCAACATTAACATATATCTCGTGTATATATATATATATATTCAAAATATTATAAACATGTTTATCTCTTTCATATAGATAAAAGTTAAAAATTTCCCTATTTATTTTCTCGTCCCATAGATTAATATTTACAAATTTTTTTTCCCTTATTCATAGGATCCTCCTATTTCACGGATTTTCCGCGATGAGACTGGCCAACCATTTGGAATCTCAGGTTTTTTCGGCGAGGTTATTCAGCTACTGCAAAAAGCAATGAACTGCACGTCAGTATATCGGTCAACGATTAATAATTTATTACTTATAGTTAAAGAAACTAATGGCATACCTATCGATAGGAACATCGCTCGATTGCGAACTCTCAGGATTGCATGCCGAGTCATCATGCGGATTGCACTTTATAGGAGCATCGCTTGCTTTTTTAGATTTCGATGTAGGCGCGATGTCCATTTTATCCTCCTGGTCTTTACACTCCTCTTTACACTTCTTGTCACATTTCTCTTTACACTCAGCCTCACACTCGGCTCTCCTTTTTATGCTACGCTCGCGTATTTCCTTCAATTGTCTGGCCGTTACCTTTCTAAAATACTCCTCTTGATTGGCAGCCGACCTCTCCTCGAACCATTCCCTCTTCCGACCATCACCGCTTCGACGATATCTTTCGTAATGGCGGTAAGGAATTATGACCGTTTGTTTGTTACGCCATATTGCCGTGCATCTGTCAAAGATAAATTCTATTAGACGTAGAATTTCCAATTGCAAAGATCTCTGTTGAAAGAATAAACATTTCAATGACGAATGATGCCACGACGGGGGATGAATTTCATCGAATTTTAACAACGTCATTTACAACAACGGATTGTGGTTATTGTCATTCGTGAGGTTATCTTTAATTAATTAGAGAATCATCATCATGTACGCGAATGAATTTACATACGACAGGGAATTTTCTCTAATGGGTTCCAGACATTTTAAAGCGAAACCGCGCAACATAGTTCCCGCGTCGACCGTCCTCGTATCCTTCCTCTCCTTTCTCGTCCTCGAGCGAAGTCCGTGGGATCGGTTTCGATTCACCGACAACTTCGCGAGGAAGTCGCGAAGTTTGACGGGTTAGGTTAGGATAGGAAAGGAATAAACGATGTATCATAATGGTGAGTTTTCAGGTTTTCCTACAAGGAAGCTGACACGTGGGGCGTCCAATTGTTGAACGGCACGTGGACAGGTTCGATTCGGATGTTGATAGAGGATGAGGCGGATCTGGTGGCCACCGAGATGATGATGTCTTCCGATAGGTTGGAAGTACTGAAATTCACGACTCCCATTTACACGAGCAAGTGAGTGGTCTCGTTCCTCTTTCGTTCCTTTTCTTTTTCTCTCCTCCTCCCTTTTTCTTTTTTTTGCTTCAGATGTCGCGTATACATCAGGAGACCCGACACGACAGCGGTAAAATGGAACGCATATCTGGCACCGTTCGCGTGGAACATTTGGAACGTGATAGCACTGACTATTGTGATCGTGACTCTCACGATCGCAGGAATCGACGCCTTCTCGAGAAGAGTCGAGTGGCTCCCCTCGATCAATGGCAGGCCTTATTCCTCCAACGATTTGTTCGACATCCTGTTCCACGTGTTTGGCGTGTTCTGCGGACAAGGTAAGCGGACAAGATCGCTTCGATCGGTGTTTGTGAAAAAAATAAAATGAATGCAGGTATGGATCCGTCTTTATTGGATCCAACGAGGATGGTGCATCTGAGCGTCCATTTGACGGCGGTGGTAGTGATCGCGGCTTACTCGGCAGCTTTGATCAGTTACTTGGCTATCAAAACGTTCGTGATGCCGTTCACCACGATGGAGGGTTTACTCGAGGATGGTACCTATCGTTTCGCGGTCACTGCTAATTCGGCCGACTACAGTTTCTTTCAGGTAATGAGAGATTGTTATATTCAGAGATTGTTCGTTTGAAACAATTACGATTGTTTTCTGAACAACAGAATACGACCGATAACGTGCTCAGGATCATGTTCGAAGAGCTATTGACCAAGGAGACTGATCTGCCTGTGAATTATTTCGATGGTTTGGAACGCGTATGCCGGGAGAAGAATTATGCGTTCATGACGTTGGACAATATGGCTTCTTTGCTGCAAGAAAAAGTGGACTGCACTCTCGAACCTTTGGACGTGATAATGCAAACGACCATAGCCATGGCGATGCCGTTTCAAAGTCCTTACCGTGGCATTATCGACACCAAGTGAGAGTTGTACAATTGATTATTTCCGATTATTTTGCCTTCTGTTTAATCCTTTCTTTTTCTCTCTCTCTCTCTCTCTATCCACAGCATTCTTTTATTGCGGGACAGCGGAATCCTTCAACGACTCCTCAAGATCGAATGGTCAAACGAGATTCGACGGGTTTGAATTTTTAATATTAAATAAAACAGATATATAATAATACTTTTCTCTAAGACAATTCCCCTTCAATAATTCGCAAAAAAATTTCTTCTTCTGCTTCGTTTTTTTCAGACAAAAAAAGGGTGGAGCTCGGTAGAATTGGAAGACGCGGCACCGTTGCTCCTTTTTCTGCTCGCCGCCTATGCGATTACCAGTCTGCTATTGTTGATGGAGCGATTGATTTATCGAAATCGAAAACAACGATCCAAAACGAATTAGCCACGCATATTTATCGAATTGAATCATTCGCGCGAGTCGTCGCGTTCTTGAATATTCGTCCAAGATCGCACGTAATATATAAACAAAGGATCGAGTTGGCACGCGTCCGGACGAGTAAGCGACAGTTGTGCACACTTTCTTGTAGCGATCACGTAGAATCAAACTCGCGGCGAAACGACGAGGAAATGACGAGTAATTTATCCAAAACTGAAATATCTCATTCAACGCGGAACAAGGTTTCCGTTGAAAGAAAGATCTCGTCTAAAGAAATTTTATTACCGAGTGGGAAAGAGAATGAGTGCCCTTCTGCGAAGAACGCGACGGCCGGTGGTAGAAAGGTGATTTTCATGGGTGATACAACGTGTCGAACGCAACGTGTCTCTTCAAGTTCGAACCGAGGGACCGAGCAGTCAAAAGAAGGTATTTATTGTAATTTCAAAATTGATGCGTTTTTACAATAAAAAGTATGATTTCAAGTGATCTTTTTTCGAGATTTCGAATACCGTTGTGAATTTGATTTCCTACAAAAAAAAAAAACTAACTAGTAGTAATTAATTTTATCAATATTTCATTTACTGATTTTATAGTAGGTGTTTGAACGTTACTCAGCCCCTCAGTTCGAACAACGAGCTAAGAAAGGAAGTCTCGAATGAACGCAGCCGAACGAATCGTTCGCTTTGGAATGTATCCGGTAAAAAGATGCCATTTCACGTTCATTGCGACGATGCGAATAAAATTTCAGGTATATGCGATTCTCAAGCAGAAACGCATCCTATTTCCAACGTGACATCGGTCGATTTAATAGAATCGCATTCTACAAGAGGCGATCTGAAACAGGTAAAATCGAGTCAAATTTTTCATCGTTTTCTTTTTATTGTATAACTTGTTTATTTATTTATTGTTTTTTTTTAGATGGAATCGAGCAAAATAATGCAAAAACGATCCTCATTCGAATGTCGAAATATGATCGAACTTCCTCGGCTGTCTAAGATACCTTGCCGAGTAAAATCGAGTTCCGTACGATCGGTGCAAAAAAATAAACGAGTCATTCCGCGACGCTCGATTTCGATCGAGACTGCGACTGGTTCGCGTGCGCAACGTTTCAACTTCGACTTGACAGAGAAAAGTTTAATTGAAAACACAAGAAACATATGGAAATCGGAAAAATTCGGAAGCGGAGTTTCACAAGCTGGAACAAGATAAAGGATAAAAGTAACGAGTATGAATTTTGAGTTTTATTTATTTTTTTTATTTTTCAATAAATACCTTCCAACACTTTTTAAGTAACTTTTTTTTCACAGAGAAAAAGCTGAGAAAAATGTAACGAAGAATTTCTCTAGAGAAAGTACATTGTCTGAAAGAGTGGCAACGCCTATCGATGGGCTACCCTCACCGCCAGCACCATTGACACCTCTTAGGGTAGAATCTTGCTTTTCTCTTGCAAATTATTTTCAATCTTTTTGTCTCGAATATTGATGAAGATGCCGATTGTTTATTAAGGTGATAAATCGACAAAACAATTTGAAAAAACTTGAATTCAACGAGATTATCCCACCCGAACGGAATTCTTCTTTCTGCGATTTGATGTTCTACATGGAGTATTTCGATGATACACCGATGATCGAACGTGAAAGGGAAGAGAGATCTCCACGATTATCGACTAATTTTTTAACGAAACATATTAATCCCGAGCAGAGGAGATTAGTCGTTGCGTTTATGATACGCGTTGGAGTAAGTGAAGAAATAATTGATCGAATGCACGTTGATTTCACGACGAATCGATTTTCCTTTAAGAAAAATTTGATCTATATATCCGTAGAATCATTGTCGATTCCCGTCGTATATCGTGTATCAGTCGGTAAAGTTGTTCGATGCCGTTATGGACAAAATTTCGGTACAGACGATGTTCTTCCAATTAACGGCACTGGCTAGTCTGTGGATCGCTCTCAAGAAACAAGAAAATTATTACAAAATTCCAGCGGTAAGTAAAAAGATATAATGATGCCTGAATAATTAAAAAAGATTTTAATAAAATTATTTTCGATTTAATTTTTCCAGGCTAACACAATAGTGAGCCTTGCTCAGGATCTCTACACGGGAAGAGAGAATTTGCTGATGGTTTATGAGAGAAAAATATTGCATATTCTCGACTTCAACATCACATTTGCCGATGCATTTTCTCTATTCTCTCATCATCTGTTGAGTTGCATACGTTACATCGATATATCCAATGAGATGATTGTGTTTTTATATCATTGTGGCTGTTACCTGGTACAAAAAAAATATTTTCTTTCATTTTTTTTTATCTTTCGATTTCTCTGACCGAGTCAAATCTGAAAAATAAAATTTTTAGATCGACATCACGCTGATAGATGAACATTTTTGTCGAATACCGGCAAGATTAATTAGCCTAACGATAATAGAGCTGGTACTTGGTCTTATAGATAACACGCCCCGATGGTTATTCTGGAGAGGTTTGCTTTTTGCTATCATTCCACGTTCGCCGGACGATAAGTTAATATCGTTTTTTTTTTTATCTGCACGCGAGTTTTCTTAAAATTTAATTTTAATTATAGAATGTTGTGATTATTTCTAGGTTTCAAGATAAGGAGATCGATGAAACGCGTGTTTTGATGTTACGACGCGTGTTACATTCTGGACAAAATGTCCATGGCTTCGATATGGTGTACAAAAAATACAATCGCAGTAGATACGGTCGCATATCGCAATTTTTCCTGGAGCTGGTTACCAAACTGTCTTCTACAGAGATATATTTCGATCCGTAAATCGATTTTATTAATATCATTTTTATTATTTTTATTGCTTATAAGTCAAAAAAGAGTGAGTGAGAATGAATGCGAGTGAGAGATAATAATAAGATGGATCGTTGAAATAAAAATATCGATAGTGTCTGTTGCTATGGCATTTTATTTCAGCGTTTGATAATACGTCATCGTGTTTCGTGTTAAATATTTCACGACGAAAAGCGGCTTCCTTCGCAATTTTAAGCAGCACCGTAATTATTTTGCGTTTCCTGCCAATCGTTCCACCTGTTCCACGATTTGTTCACCGATACGAGATCTTTCGCTTCGTCCTGTAATCGAAAATTAGTTGGATTCTTTCTTTGATTGACAAGAAAAGAAGAGGAAATTTTTGTTACGTTACCTTGAACAAGAGATTCGGCCGATTGGACCAAGAACCAAACAAATGCAAAAGATCGGGTCGCTTTGAGTAAAGAGTACTGGCGGCTAATGTACCGTGAGTTAATTCCTCCAAGACTGTTGGGCTCTTTGCACTAGAACTGAGGATTACTCTTGGCGGTTCCAGTCCCAGATTGCATCGTTCCCATTCGTTGATTTCAGCGCGGCCACCATCCGGACAAATCAGAGCGAGATTTTTGCTCTGCACGCCTTCCTCGGATAGAGCGGTCAATGGTACGAACGCGACGTCTCCTTTGCCATCCAACAGACAACTAAAAATACCAAAAAAAAAAAAAATTAACGCTCACATTGCAATTTGATCGTGGATCAGATTGAGCTTATTAAACTTACGAGAGAGCACCCTTTCCACCTCTGTATGTTTCCTCGTTGGTTGCTTTGCATTTGGTTGCCTGTCGGATTCGATCGTTGTTGCTTGCAAGCTTACCGACACATTGTTGGCATAATTTCGAATCGACCGATGCACCGGGTGCACACGATCCTGAGAAGAAATCGGCTGCCTCGTTCTCCGACTTTATCAGACCTTTGCGTTTTAATGTGTATATCGGTGCTGTCCAACCAGCAAAGTCATCCTTGTATCCACTGTGACAAGACTTTTTGTTCCTCAGATCCTCTGAAACGTAGAATAAATGGATACACTCGTGAAAATGTGTTTTGGAAAGAGGAATAATTGTATCAAAGAAACACGGAATGCCATTTCTTACCCAATTTGTTTATCGAGCTAGACTTGGAACAACTGCCACGGCTGGCCTTTCATTGAAATTCGTTGAGCCTGGTCCATACGATTCTGCGATTATGGGAACCGCGTTATATTCCTTGGTCGCCCGAAGAACCGATCCTCCGCTGACAACCGTCAAATCCGCGTTATCTTCCTTGATAGCTTTCAAGCAATCGTCTTGACTCTTTTCTAGCGTACAATCGTATTTGGGCCTCACGTCCCTGATGAAATACGGAGATAACGATGAGAAGATGATGTTATTGACAAGAAGCAAAATAATATAGAATAATACGTTACCTGGAGTATGCTGCCCTGGTAAAAGCTTTACACTTTTCGAGATCCCCTTCGCTCCAGGTACACCAACGAATGATCTTGTCCGTAGCTCCAGAATTCCTTTCAATCACGTCTAAGTATTTTGCGTTTTTCAGATGATTCTCGGGCAATACTGGCGGTGCAGGAACGGCTAAGGTTTTTTCATTCAGTAACATAATGTCTTTCCACCAATCTGCCTTCTCTTCTTCTCCCAATTTACCAAGATCAGTCAATTCCTGAAAGTTTTATCACGCAAATTATAATGATTTATCGGACAGAAAAAGAAAAAGAAGACCTTAAAGAAAGGAGAAGAAAAAAAAGAAACCTTTTGAACCGCTTCTATGTTATTCACTCCATTGTTAGTCATGTATCCTTGCCAAGGTCTGGCAGCCCAAGTGCATGGTTTCGTGTTCGCGTCTATAGGCACTTTGCTGCCATCTGGACAGAAATATCTGTAATCTGCTGGGTTTTCCGATGTCGGAATCGCGGGCGTTACACCAACTGGTAAGCCGAAGAAGCGTTTCACGTAGATAACCTTAGTCCAAGCAATTTCTCCGCCATTATGCGCCAGACATCGCAAAGCACCTTCGTATCCTGAATATATGTCTGGATAATCGCAAACTTCTGGTTTCTCGCAGAGAGCGCACATATTCGAATAAGTTTCCTCTGTAAAGTTAAACACAAAATAATCGATAATAGATCCAATTCAGATTCGATCGCTTAATATTGGCTTATGATATAGGTCGAAGAAGATTAATTCATCGATATTAACGAAAAGGAAGCTTACTCAATCTATGATTGATCGCTGGATCTGGAGACCAGGTGCCAACCAAGCATCCTTTGGAGAAGAGGGAGCTCAAAGCGCGCAGCTCGTTCTCGCGAGCTGAATATTCCGGATCGTGGAGATTATTTAATATTCCCATAGCGGTGAGTTTGGTGATCGGTATTTTGTAACCAACATTGCGACCCACACCGGTGTGACAAGACTTTAATCCGCGCAATCCTTGCACATTGTTAAGTGGCAAATCTTTGTGTATCACAGCCACTGCTTCGTAACGATACGGTGCATGCGGTTCCTCCTTTGTTCTCACCTTTCATTAAAAATGCAAGTATATTTATATATGAAATCTCATCTTTTCTTGAGGAATAACTTTATAAATTTTAGAAATGTATTATGAAGAAGAAACGAAGAGGAAGGGAAAAAATACCTGTTCGATAACATTGTAACCAGCATTTGATGCCAATTTATTATTCTTCACCGCCAGATACATATCTTCCGGATCGACGGCTACCACATCAGCCTCTTTCTTTCCAACTTTTTCGATACATTCGTATCGATCGCGGCCAGAAATACAGGAAACTGGAATCCCTTTGACAGCGGAATCTTTTTTCATGTCATCGCATTCCTTCGAGTATATTTCAGGGACGCATATCGTAACTACGATAACAAGACAAAATACTTTAATAAAGAAGTTTGGTTAAAAAAGAATTCTCGAAGAGAATCTTTAAAAAAAATAATATCTCAATTCGTTATTTACGTGTTTCTACTTACATATTCGTCCCGAGGAA